TTTCCCAAGGGTATTAGCACATAAATGAATTAATGGATTAGACTACAATTCGAACTCGGATCTCCGATTTCTCAATCCGAGCCGCTATCCACCGACACTGCTATCGATTTTTTGTTTTTATTAATTATGACCTACGAAATGATATAACAAATATTTATTAGAACGTTTCCTCAAAGACACATGGTACAGTGGATAAAGGCGTTAGCTCGATCCAGTGACAGTTCAATACCTGGTTACGGCGGTGAAGAACTTGGACAGGGGAATTAACAGGAGATAACTGATAACTGATATCCGTGGCAAGTGGAACTAAAACAGTCTACCCCAGTGAGCGAAATAAAGGGTTCAGTTCGACATTCCAACCACCTGAAGAAAGCAGGAGTGTACAACGGCCGAAACGTTGTAATAAATATGTCGACAAAGATGAGGACATTAGTCCGAATAATGTAAATAGTGTACATAATACCTTATCTCAGAAATATAGACAGATACTAAAGGGCCGAAACGTTGTAATAAATATGACAACAAAGATGAGGACAATAGTCCGAATAATGTAAATAGTGTACATAATACCTTATCTCAGAAATATAGACAGATATTAAAGGGCCGAAACGTTGTAATAAATATGACAACAAAGATGAGGACAATAGTCCGAATAATGTAAATAGTGTACATAATACCTTATCTCAGAAATATAGACAGATACTAAAGGGCCGAAACGTTGTAATAAATATGGCGACAAAGATGAGGACAATAGTCCGAATAATGTAAATAGTGTACATAATACCTCATCTCAGAAATATAGACAGATACTAAAGGGCCGAAACGTTGTTATAAATATGGCGACAAAGATGAGGACAATAGTCCGAATAATGTAAATAGGGTAAAAGATATTAACTTTATTTGGATTTATTCTTAAAATAGTAAAATTCTAAAGTCAGTTTGGAAGCAAAAACCTGAGGAAATTTGGTATTTCTGTAGATTTTTTTCAGACGGTCTTTAAAACTAAATGCTCAAAAAATGGTAAAAGCTATGAATCTAATTTTTGGTTTCAGTACTTATTGCAACAAACCCCAACCTTTTACACATAGGTCAATGTTGATTTTCTAAAAACAGGGAAAAATCAACCTGTACTATTGATCCAACCTGTTAAGCCGAGTTTTATATTCGGTAATACCGTGCAACTTGATGAATAGTTTCTGGTTATTTATCGTCATTATTATTATTATTATTATTATTATTTCCTTTGAGTTCTGGCGTTTACACATTTCTTTCCGGGTCCCGCCCAGGGACCTAAGGTTAGAAATGGTATCATGACACTTTCCACTGACAAAAAAAAAAAAAAAAAAAAAAAATTACATAGATAAAGCCCTTCGTAAAGTGTGGACTGTACTTGTCAGAACAATTTTTTGTATCTCTTTGAGGCATGGACTTCCAGGAATCCCTTCAATTAGTCTACTGGAATCTTTTCCAACCTGTCCTAGGGCTCCAACTACAACAGGGATTGTTGATGTTCCCATGTGCCACATTTTTGAGATTTCTATTTCAAGGTCCTTGTATTTTGGCAGCTTTTTGAATATCTTCAAAGATACATTGCAGTCTGCAGGGACCGCCATCATTATCATTATTATTATCATTATAATTATTATTATTATCATCATCATTATTATCATTATTATTATCATTATCATTATCATAATTATTATTATTATCATTATCGTTATTATCATTATCATAATTGTTATTATTATCATTATTATTATCATTATTAATATTATTATTATCATTATTATTATCATTATGATTACTATTATTATCATTATTATTATTATTATTATTATTATTATGTCAAGATTTAGGGGATTTTTTCTTTTTCTTTGTATTGCCATTCGAAGCTAAACAAAGAGAAATTAATTTTCACCGACCCCAGTCCGTTTCCAATCGGGCACATGCAGCCTCAACATGAACGTGCTGACGACGATGAAGTGAATGAAGCGGAAGTGATGGTATTGTAGGGGGTGGGGTGCAGAGTGAATATCGGGACCGAGTGTTCGAACCTCGGCCGTCACCCGAATAGCATTCATTAAATAAACAGGTGTGATACAATGCGAACAATAAAATTACCCTTGGACGCCATGTCGGCTGAAATTACAAAAGCGACTGATCGATTTGTAACCGGCGCCGTCAGTTAAGAAAATAAGGGTCATTCAGGGCACATCGCATCTTTTTCAAATCAGAATTTCCCTTGACAGCTGTCTTTGCTATCTTTCTGTGTTTGGCAGTCTGTTCATAACTGTCATAGTTTTTTAACATTTACTTTGGAAAGAAAGAAAGAAAGTAAAAAGAAAGAATGAAAGAAAGAAAGAAAGAAAGAAAGAAAGAGATAAGGAAAAAAGAAAAAAGAAAGAAAATGATAAGAATGATTATGTGAAGGCAAGAAAGAAAAATATAAAAACGAAAGAAAATATTAAGAATGATTATGTGAAAGAAATATAAATATTACAAAGGCAGTGCGAAAGAAAGAAAGAAAGAAAGAAAGAAAAAGAAAGAGAGAAAGAAAGAAAGAAAAAGAAAGAGAGAAAGAAAGAAAAAGAGAAATAAATAAATAAATAAATAAAGAAAGAAAGAAAGAAAGAAAGAAAGAAAAAGAAAGAGAGAAAGAAATAAAGAAAGAGAAATTGAAAAAATATTACGTAGGCAGAAAAGAAAAGTGTTTCCTTCAAAATTAAACTTTTCTAAAGATTATTTCCCTCTTTTTATGGGCAAACTATATACATATTCAATAGGGAGATTTCTACGAGTATTTTCATAGTCACATGAACTCACAAGGAGTATATTCAATCGTTAACTTAACAATTATGATTCATCAGAAAATTCGAACAGTAAAACCGTTACTACAGATATTATTAATCGATAAAACGGGTAAAACATATTTTTCGAATTAATTATCTTCTTCTATGGCTGCTACACATTCTTCCTTTAAACTTGGTCTACCAGACCGAGGCTTCTTATTAATAGAATCTTTTTCTTGAAACTTTTCATGTATTTGGTTATGAAATTCCTTTGTGGTGCTCAGTAGCGTACAGAAGGGTGGGGTCAGAGGTTGCGTGGGCCCCGGGCATCCATATCGAGACGGCATCCAATCAATGGGTGAAATTTAGTTTATATTTAATTTGAATAAGGTATTTATTTAATGTTTCATCTGTTTGTACATATTTAAAATGTCTTCCTTTCTCACATTTCTCAGTAACAGGCCGTATAGCTCCCCCTCCCACACACGCATATTGAGTCTCAGGCACATACAGTTGTTAAGGAGCATCACCAAACCTCTTCACGTCACTGGTGGCGCTTCTTTATTGTAACGATTTCTAAACCTTCTTTTGACGACGCCGAAAGATTTCAGTTCAGCATACCAAAGAAAGCAGTTTATTTTCTCTTTTTCTTCGTCTAATAATAGTAATAATAATAACAATAATAATAAAGAGGCCGAGGTCTAATCCAATTCGAAATCGGAGAGCCGTGTTCGAATTCCAGTGGAAACGGTATGGATCCTCTTCTTCTCCCCCCAGCTATGGGTAAATAGCAGGACAGACCGGATTCTGTAGCCTTGGATGGAAACTGGTCTACTGAAGAAAGAAATAACAACCTACTGTGGGAAAAAAATCTGCCTATTCAGTCATGTATCGAAAGATACATGATCACCTAAGGGTGTATCATATATGGCACATAATTGATTGACGTGCTAATACCCTTGGGAAAGGTATGAATCTTCTTCTTCTCTCCCCAGCTATGGGTAAATTGCAGGACAGAACGATTTCTACACCCTTGGATGGCAACTTGTCTACCGCAGAAAGAAATGGCAACCTACTGCGGGAAAAAAATCTGCCTCGTCAGTCATGTATCGAAAGATACATGATCGCCTAAGCGTGTATCACGCAAGGCACATAACTGACTGAATATAAATGTAGGTAGAAAAATGCAAATAGGGGTCACAAAGCACTGCCCGAAACTGGCTCATCTGGCCTGGGACAACTCCCCTATTCGCGGCGGCTTGCTACTGGTGTGAAAATAATAATAATAATAATAATAATAATAATAATAATAATAATATAATTCTTTCTTCCCTTTTTCCCCATTTTAATGCTACCGTCGATTTTTTATTTCACAGTTTCTAACAGCCCCAATCCTTTTCACCAGCTGGCCCGCGCCGCTTTACTGCTAAGAGAAAAATGAAAATGAATCAACAATAATCGTTGATTACAACGTTTAATCAGCCATTGTTTCGTGAAAGGCATGCGATCACGTGAGGAGGGCTGAATGACGAACAGGGGTCCATCACGTGTCCCTTGGTGCCTAACAGATGGTTTATGGTCTAAGGATTTGTTTGTATAACAGCATAACAGGGATTGAATTAAAAGTCTGTATGGGAAACACTTGAAGCACAATAAATAAATTGAAAAACGAAGAAGAGAAATAGATGTATACAGATTGAAAATCGTTATCTCGCCTTTCATTATAGGGGAGGCAGAATGCAGAGTAACGGTGTTCACAGTTGAATCAAGAGAAGAAAGAAAGAAAAAATAAACAACGCACGCAGTTATTATCATTATGATTTCATTCAATCCAATCACGTTGACATTACCCATACCCAGTTGGGGGAATGGGAGAATACCCTGCCTAGTAAACTCCCATTACAATATCTCTCAGGGCAATGTGGGTGGGAGCAGACAGTGCCCATATCTCTCCGAAGTAACATGTGACAAGATTTAATTGGTTACATAACAACAGCAGCAAGAAGATACGATCCTCGAGCTGACCTATCATCGAACGACCAAAATGGATTGATTTGCAAGGGCTAAAGTGCTCGTAAACTGCTGCGTTACTTGCCCAGGGAGATTGGGTGTAAGCGAGGAAGTAGATTCAGGCCCTAAACGCTAATTATCCAAAATGGATGTTTTCAACACGATTGTCAGGTCTCGTTAACATCCGTCGTTTGAACAAATCAAATCTTCCCAGACAAATGGCGATGTGCTTGAATCTCACCAAAGGATCTCCGACAATGCATATTTCTGATCAGAAAGTGTACATTTACATTGCGTCGATCAAGGAGATTGTTTGATATAGTCTACAACAGGAGGTCAGCAAACTACGGCACGCGCGCCACACTTGGCACGCCAAGTAATTTCCAATGGCACGCAGCCGCAAATGACATCATGAAGTCCGGACCAATAACTACTACAACGCAAAGAAGATATTTATCTGTTTCAATTTGAATAGATATTAAATATATATACTATATATTACTAAATAAAATATATTGTAGAACAGGTATATTGACCTTGACTAGTATAAAAACACGTATGCTGTTGGCACACTGAATGATTTTAAAACCCTAAGTCGTCATATAGATAGCAAAAGGTCACCGACCTTTCCTTTATAATGTCACGGACACTGATATCTTCTAAGAAACAGTTTATTCCTATTAATGTGGTTTACATATAATATATATTACTATATAAAATATATTGTAGAACAGGTATATTGACCTTGACTAGTATAAAAACACGTATGCTGTTGGCACACTGAATGATTTTAAAACCCTAAGTCGTCATATAGTTAGCAAAAGGTTGCCGAACCCTGGTCTACAACTCTGAGTGAGAAGAGTCACAAACATACCATTGTGCAGGTCAATTTTAGAAGCATGGTACTGCACTCAAGTTGAAAGTTGCGGTTTGAGATTATGAATAACGATACAAAATATATTTTTCCCAAATATTTACCGTTTTTTGAAGAAACGAGTTTAAATATTAAATTTAGTTTCAAAATCGTAGGGTTGGAATTTAATTCAGGTGATCAAAGAAAGTCTTACGACACAGCCCTATAGAATTTAGAATTTACTGAAGCTTTACGAATTGTATATGGACAAGATGCGTGGCACACGTACCATCAAATTTGTGCCATCAAATAAGACCTTTATTTAAGTTATATACCGTACCTATGAACACTAATGGGTCCTCATAAAGACGTTGGACACTATTATAAATGGGGGTAATATGCTGTCAATGTAGTGATTTTCCAAGCGTAGCTTAGATGCGGAACAAGGTTGAAAGTAGGGGCACCCAATGAGGATCGAACTCACTACTCAGTCGTCATTGTTCTTGCAAGACAAGCTTGCTAACCATTACTCCGCCTCGAGTATGCTGTCAAAGTAATCAGTAGCAGTGGTTTACCTATTTCACACCGCTGGCGAGTATTGTATTTTGTTGATGTTATAAAGATTACCATTTCATTTCCAACCACCATTTTGGTTATTTTCCATTCAGTAACCCTTTCAAGGTTACAACTTCAAAGGGAAGTTATAATGAACAATTTAGTTATATTATGATGCAATATGTTATACAGTGCAGTGTGATTTACAATAAACAATGCAAATTTAAAACTTTTTGTTTAATAATGTATTATGGTGTTATATGCACTTTTATTTATTTTCTGTTTTTATTAATTATTATCTAACAAATGAGCTTACAAATCTTATTGAGTAGCCATTTTTGTAATCTTTGACAATTTTTTTACACAATTTTTACTTATCGAATACAGTAAAAAAAACTGAATATTTTTCTTATGGTGATTCATAATTGAAATTCTGGTTGTGATATATTTTCCATTCAATGAATCTAATACGAAAGATATCATCATTATTCTTATTTAGCCCTTCCCAGTTTTTACTTATCTAGTAAAAAAAATGTATATTTTCCTTGGGGTTATTCATAATTAGAATTCTGGTTTGAATATATTTTCTACTCAATGTATCTTTTGATACATGACTGACGAGGAAGATTTTTTTCCCGCGGTAGGTTGCTATTCCTTTCTGTGGTAGACCAGTTACCATATTTACCAATAGCTGGGTGGAGAAGAGGATACATACCCTTTTCCAAGGGTATTAGCACATAAATGAATATAATGGATCCGACTGGAATTCGAACTCAGCTCTCCAATTCCTCAATCCGAGGCGCTATCCATTACACCACCTACACTGTTACCAGTTTTTTGGTTTTTATTAATTATGACTTACAAAATGATATAACAAATATTTTTCATTATTACTTATCAAATACAGTAAAAAGAATTGCATATTTTGACTTATTCATACTTAGAATTCTAGTTTGAAGATGTTTTCCATTCAATGTTTCTAATACAAAAGATATTAACTTTATTTGGATTTATTCTTGAAATAGTAACATTTTGATGTCAGTTTGTAAGCAAACACCTGTGGATATTAAGTATTTGTGTACATTTTTTTTCATATGATCTTTAAAAGTAAATGCTCGGAAATTGGTAAAAGCTGTGAATCTAAATTTTGGTGTCAGCACTTATCACATCAAACCACAGCTTTCATACCAAGTGCAACATTTGATATTCTAAAAAAAAAAAAAATCAACCTACCTTAATTGGCAGTGTTGATAGACACGGAAAGAAAATTAAAAGAATTCCTTCAAAAGGCAGTAAAGAAAGTGAGAAGAAAGGATTGAACATCAATTGCAAAAAGACAGAATGCATGGTTGTTAGCAAAAGGAATAACCCAACATGCAAATTACAAATTGGAGATACTGAAATTAAACAAATACAACAATTTAAATATGTGGAAAAACAGAGGACAGAAAGTGTGACACTGAAATCCAAAGGTACATTGGAATAGCCAAAGATGCCTTCCAAAAGTTAAGCAATGTGTTAATAGAAAAAAATTGCTAGAAACAAAACAGTATTGAACTGTTATGTAGGTACCATAATAGAAAGTTCATCAGAAAAATTACCATGAAAGTATTTATAGAAAAAGCACAGGGAAGCTATGGTACAGGAGGTGGAAAAATGATTGAAGCTACAAAATGATATAACAAATATTTTTCATTATTATTTATCAAATACAGTAAAAAGAATTGCATATTTTGACTTATTTATACTTAGAATTCTAGTTTGAAGATGTTTTCCATTCAATGTTTCTAATACAAAAGATATTAACTTTATTTGGATTTATTCTTGAAATAGTAACATTTTGATGTCAGTTTGTAAGCAAAAACCTGCGGATATTAAGTATTTGTGTACATTTTTTTCAGACGGTCTTTAAAAGTAAATGCTCAAAAATTGGTAAAAGCTATGAATCTAATTTTGAGAGTCAACACTTATCACAACCAACCACAGCTTTCACATTGAGTGAAATGTTGATTTTCTTAAAAACTGAAAAATAAACCTGCCCTATTTTTTACAGGAGCTCAAATTACTTATATTTATATATATATATATATATATATATATATATATATATATATATATATATATATATATATAAATTCTTTGCTTATAAGTTTTTAGTCTTGTTAACACCCAACGTTATTCAGGAGCTCAGATATCTTCATTGTTTAGATATTAACTCTCTGTCTATAACTTTCAGAAGAGTTGGAATTTCTAGGGAACATAATGAGGAAAGAGGGCTTGTAAAATCTGACACTCACAGGACTGACAAAATTTATTCAGAGCTACGCAGGACAGGAAATTGTGGACAGTCATAACCGCTTACGTCCAGAAAGGAATACGACGCAAGCAGAAGATGTTAAATGAAAATGTATTCGTTTTCCTTTGTATATTTTAAAGATTAAATTTTTAGCGCTCCGCAATAGACCCCTATCCCTTTCAAGCGTCCCACGCCAACGAGAAGTTTGGGAAACTCTGCTTTAATAATTTTCTTAGCTTCTGAAAGACATCTTTCTCTCTTCCGAATCGTTTACGGATTTCTGTCGCATATTTTCCCAGATTAAGATAAGCTTAGTAATTACTTATTTCGACGACTTTGACGTATGTGTGTGTGTGTGTGTGTGTGGTGGGGTAGTTAACAGAGGTCAGCACTTTTTCATTACTTTTTTGAAGCAACTGCTTCTCTAAGTGCTGGGTCCTTTCAGGACGCAGGTGATCATGGCTCTCCACAGTTTCTTGCCTTTCGTAGCTCTTAATAAATTTTGTCTTTTTGTTATTTCTCCTAAAACATCCATTCACTCGAGTTCACTAAATAGAATGTGCGGTGTTTTCCATGTCCCTCTTGCTTTCAATCTGTCTTGTGAGTTTCAGATTTTCCAAGCCCTCCTTCCTCATTATGTACCCTAGAAATTTCAATTGTCCGTTCCTGATGTTAAGTAGAAGTTTCATTTTTGTTTTCATTTTATCTAAAACTTCGTCGTTGCTCACATATTCTGTTTATGGTATCCTCAACATGATTCTGTGGAACCACATTACTGTTGCTTCAAAT